CACTTCATCACCATTGCTAGCTTTTTTCAATTCGGCATGTTATCATATTCACCCTCACTATTAGTCACCACTTCCCTATTGTCGCGCAAGATCACGATTCTTTTGTTTGGACATTGAGAAGCAATGTGTCTCGATCAAAAGTACCTAAAGCACTTGACGTCCCGATTCCTTGATGGTTGGGAATCCACCTTGGGTGTAGCTTTTCTAGAAACTTCCTATTTTCCCTTTAGCAGCTCAGTCCTACTTTTTGAAATAGCCCCATCTACTTTATTGTTATCATACTTCGGTTTCCAAGAAGAATTAGAACCCGAAGAACCTGATGAATATCTAGTTGTCCCCTTCCTCTTCAATTGTTTTTCCACATTCATAGCTACACGTAGTATGTCTTTCAATTCCACATAATATTGCAATTCTACCACATTAGCTATATGTTTATTCAATCTATTCAAAAATCGGGTCATGGTGGCCTCCCTATCCTCCTCAACATTTACTCTAATAATCAGAATTTCCATCTTCTTGTGATAATCCTCCACACTTTTAGAACTTTGGTAGATGCTTTGTAATTTTTGATGAAGCTCCTGATAATAATGATTAGGCGCAAACCTCTCCCTCATGATAACCTTTAATTCTTCCCATGTAAATTCAAGTACCGTAATCTTTACCTTATTTCCCTCCGAGTAGTTGTAGTAATCAAATATCAACTCTATTTTCTTTCCCACTCCAAGTATGCTTCCGTATCACTCCTTCCTTTGAATGAAGGGATTGTCATCTTAATATTTCCCATACTTCTATCAACACCATCTCCAGCAAGATCTCTACCCTTCCTTTCATGCCTAACTCTCTATCCCTCATTCTTCCTAACTCGATATCCATAAATGCATCCTCATTAATATCACTATCCACTTCCCATTCACCAGCATAATCCACTCTATGATCCCACCTTCCTTGCCTCCTTGTGTTAGGAATTTCTCTAAATTGTTCCCGACATAAGTTAGCAAGCAATGTATCTTGCCTATCCAATCTGTCTCTCACACCTTCAAACAACCTTTCGAACCGTTGTATTGCATCATCCGACATGTTGACTTGATTATTCTTCCCACTTGGAGTAGATCCGTCTCTGTCAGACATCCTGAATCTAGTTTAATATTTATCTTAGGTATGTCCACTCGTGTATCACTTAACTTGGGTTTTTTTCCTCTATTAGTCTTATCACTCTACATTTTTTTTCACTCGATGCTTTCTTGCAAGTGCTTCAAAAAATTAATTCGATCTCAATCAAAATTTAACCCTTGTGGAGTCCAAACAATGAATTAAGGAAATTGATCTTTAATGACTCGAGAATGTAGGAATTTGAACTTGAATGAAACGCCAAGGATGAATTCAAGAAAGTTAGACTGGACACTTTTGAATTTGGATTTTTTTTTAACTCAAAAATGAACTTGTACACTACATGTAATTTTTTTTTCATTTTTTTGCTTGGAAACTCAATTAGATACCAGTAAAAGAAATATAAACTGATTTGGATGCTAGACTAGCACACAAATAAGTTTTGAATTTTATTTTTGGTATTTTACAAATTGGAGACTCAAAAAAATGAAGAACGCGAAGAA